GGAGGATGGGGTGACGAGGGTGGCCGAGGGAGCGAATAGGGGCACGGAGCTCTTCGAAGCTCGTGTCGTGGCCTGCTGCAGTGGCGCAGGCGGCCGAAGGTGCTGGCACGGGCGGTGGCCGGAACGATGATAGAGATAGAGAGCTCGCGCCGGAGTCTAGAGGAAGAGGAAGAGGAAGAGGAAGAGGAAGACAGCACGCGGTATAGGTATAAGACATCGGCGTCAAGATCTGTGGCTCCGAGTTCAGCGCCACATCTGTGGCTCCGACCTCGGCGCCAGGATCCATGGCGCCGACCTACCTACCACGTCAGTGCCACTTAGATGCCCTGTTTTTCCTGGCCAGGCATCTCGGCGTGAAGACCTACGGCGCCGAGACATGTTACCTCGGTGCCGTAGGCCACGGCGCCGACCCCCAGGGTCCAAAGATCAGTTTACGTCGTCTAGGGGGGTAAACATAAATTTTCTTAAAAAAGGCTAAATTGCAAAAAAATTGGGTGGGTGGGAGGTCTAGCGTGTATTTGGTTCAGGTTTGGGTTGGGTCGGACTGGGCTGTTTGGCTTTGGAGAATAGGTGGGTTGGGTTGGCTTCGCTTGGTTCCTCCGAATCGGAGAAATCGTTTCATTCGAACCCACTTCCGTGCATGAGCAGAGGCAAGCCACAGCAGCAACCTCCAGCGTGCGGCGGTGGCGCCTAGTGTGGAGCACCGACATGACGCGCTGCAGCCACTACGGTGGCCAGCACGCGGCAGCAGCACCCAAGCGGAGCACGCAGCAGCGGAGCTGGCCATGCATGCAGCAGCAACGTGCGATGGAGGCGCCCAGGAGCCAGCGTGCAGCAGCAGCGCCCAGTAGGACCGGCGGCGGAGTAAGCAAAAAAAGAGATGTACTTGTGTAGCGAACACACAACACACCCTGTACTTGTATATTTTGCCTCTCTTATAAAACAACAATATTTTAAAACTGAAACTCAATTAAGCTAGGGTCACGCGCGACCCGTCTTCCACCTCACGCCGCACCTCCTCCTTCTTCCACCCGTCTTCCACCTTGTGCCCCGCGCCCGCACCGAAGGCGAGGAGGTCGTCGGCGGTAGGGTTCCGACGGGGTTAGGGTTTCCCCGGCGGGCTTAGAAGGAAGGTTTGGGGGAGGCAGGCCAGCCAGACGGTTTAGGGCCCTAGTGGCGGTGGAGACGGCCAGGCCTGGTCGTGGTGGGGGCGTCGCGGCGAGCTCGCCAACGCCCTGCCCTAGGGTTAAGAAGGGCGGGGGAGGGTTGAGGGTGGCACGGCGAGGCAGCTCGTGCGCGGCCACCGGTGGTGGGGGCGGGGGTAGGGCGAGGACGAGGTTCATCGTCGGCGTGTCGTGGTGAGGTTAGGGGAGGGCGGGGTCGAGGGGCGAAGGCGGGAGGTGGGCGACAGAGAGGAGGAAGAAGGCGGAGGGAGAGAACGCGCAGCGAAGAAGACGCAACCCGTTGTGGGATATCTGCATCTATTTTAAAAGTATTTTTTTCTAGAAAAGAATACCATATGTCATGTTGGTTGGATGACTGGATCTCATGGATGCCACAATCGGACATACATCCTAATGGAGCCTTGTGTTCTTCCACGTCTTTCTTTCTTAGTCTCTCCTCCATGTAAAGAGCTAAGACATGCCCCACTGATTTATAGGGGTGTTTAAATTTAGGGACTAAAATTTAGGGATGTCACATGGGGATATCGCATCGAGTGTTTGATAGTAATAATAAAACAAATTACAGAAATCCTCAGGAATCCACGAGACGAATTTATTAAGCCTAATTAATCCGTCACTAGCACATGTTACTGTAGCACCACATTGTCAAATCATGGACTAATTACACTTAAAAAATCATCTCGTAAATTAGTCGCAATCTGTGTAATTAGTTATTTTTTAGTCTATATTTAATACTACATGCATATGTCTAAACATACGATATAATAGGGACTAAATTTTAGAGGGAGAAACTAAACAAGGCCATAGTCATCTTATATTCACTTGTTTTTCATGGGTCATCGTACGTCTCTTATTTTTATGCCTTGTGACGTCTCTTTTTTATTCTCTTCGTAGTGTTGGCTTTACCAAGTCACTTCTTTGTTTTGCCCACTATGTGTGTCTCCAGTATCCACCACTAGACCTACCTTCCTCCCTCATACATTCATCCAAATGCCCATCATCTAGAATCCAAAACCTGAAAACCCAACTCCAACCCACGTAAAAAACTCGGTCCGAGAGTAAAGATAAAGCAAAGAGGAGGTGGTTCTGAACTAGAGCTTGATGAAGCCGGCAGAAGAAAAATTCACTGATCAAGAATACAAAATACATCATTATAAACTTCTCACAAACGAATAAAGTAAAATCTGGCCAAGAATTCACTTACCAATGGTGTGTGACTGAGGAAACCACATCGTCAGATACACATATCTTGATGAGGCAGATTCTTGTACATCAATAGATTGTTATCCGACGAGGCATACCCTGATGACATCTAAACCCTTTCAAGAGATGAGTGGGGCTAAAGACGAGATCGCACCAAGGGAAAAGAAATCCCTTGAGACTAGTCCTCCAAGACGAGGAATAAGTGGGAGCATGTGTATTTACAATGTGCTCTTTCAAACCTTACAATATTCATGATGGAGTGAGAGGAGAGAAGGAGGGATAACTACTTTTTTACTAGAAAAAGGACCAGGCAAGAAGACATAAATATAATTCTGGTTTTTTACTCCGAAATGCGGGAGATTCTGATTGGGGGAAGCCCGCCCATGAAGATTATTAGTCATTTCATATGGAGGAAATTAGGTTATGATCGAGTGGCAGCCAAAGGATAGCCCCTACAGAGCAAAAATCTAAGTCCAAAATAGCGAAGTTTTTTCTTTGCTTCCAAGAACATAGATCCCTTCTTCAAACCAGGTCATGGCAGCGGTCAATTTTGTTCCAGATTGTGCAAGAAATAAAGTTGTTATAATGACATCTAGGTTTTATTATTATGTATGCATGTCGTTTAGATGTGTGTGTATTAAACACTCATGCATCTATTCCAACTCTCATGCCAAACCAATGAAATTTTGATATCAACACAATCAACTTGACTTATCAAGATTTTTTTTACCATTGACTAGGGTAGCTCATAATATAAAATGAGGATCCATGTAGAGCTCTATGAATGGAAACAAGTACCACAACCAGAACACGCAAAAGAAAGATCGAAGACTAAGGCAAGAGAATCCAAGATCTACCGATGTAGGTGAAGAAGATGAACCGCAAAGCCGAAAAGTGCACAATGGACCTCCATCCGACGAGCACCAACAACAAAAAGTGGACACGATTTTCGTGGAGATGGGAATGGAGAGCACCGCCAAGCAGAGGAACTACAAGGGGTGGGAGGTAGCTCTAACCAGGGACGGATCCAAGATAAATGTTAGGGGCCTTCTTCAACCTCTAGACAGCTTGAGCCTCTCCTCAAGGTCTATCCATGGCAAAAAAAAATCTAGGGGGGGAGGCTCCATCAGTCCGGCGGCGATAGGGGGGGGCTAGAGCCCTGCCCGCCCCATCGCTGGATCCGTCCCTGGCCCTAACTAGAGGCAAGACTTTTGTGTATTCATGAGCTTGTCCACCCACATTTGAAATGGAAGTGCAAATTTGGATGAGAGATTGTGCGTGTGCGCACAAGGGAATGATTTGTGTTTGCGCTGTCGCATCAGGTTCCGACAATAACGATGCGATTTATGTCGCCCAATTTTGTATATAGGAATGTGTGTAGAAAACACACAACACCTACCCACATGTTTTCTCTCTTAGAATACCGGTACGTTAGACTTATTTTATCTAAAAAGAATACCCTATTTTCACCATTGGATCATGATCTGATATACATTCTATTATGTTCTTCCACATCTTCATTATGCTCCGTCATGCTCTCCTCCACAAACGACAAGCCAACTTGGCACACTCACTTCAATCCCCATCACCTTACTAATTTGTTTTTTAATGGGTGGTCATTGTATTGCCATTTTGACTCTCTTTATAGTGCTCACTTGACTAATGCCTCTCTAGTCGCCTCATTACCCCGCCTACTTTCTAACCCACCACTAGGGCAACCTTTCTTCTCCTTCATTCTTTCACGTAAATCCCCATCCGAAACTCAAAAACCGATAATCCCAACTCTTAACACTAAAATATCTGAAATCTAACCCATAGAAGAAACTTGATCTCACTATAGATAGAGCAGAGAGGGAGTGAATCTCGTTAGAAGTAGAGAGAGAGAGAGAGAGAGAGAGAGAGAATCAAGTGTTGAGGAAGGAAAATAGATCATTATAACTTTTTTCACAAATGAAAAAATGGAGCTTGCCTACAATTCAATTACCAATGGCACGCGATTGAGGAAGACACCTCTTCTGATACACATCCTCTTGAGGCGGGTCGTTGTACATTTGCATAGATTGTTATTTGACAAAGCATACTCTGATGGCATCGTGTTTATTAGCAAAAACCTATTTAAATTCCAGTCTTATCATTTCACATGAACCTACCTTTTTCTTTTTGTTTATTTTTAGTTAAAAAGTAATGTCATAACTCATGTGTCCATATTTGAACTATTTTCAGATTTTTTGTCATAAAATAATATTTATCAATTATTTGATTACTTTTCCTTTAGAAATTGAATTTGGTCTTAAATAATGTAGTTTGAAACCATAATCATCATTAACCGAGAGTTCTTTGATCACCAATTTGAGATTGTTTCATATCCAGATATCTAGATGAACGAACGAAATGCAGGCCTGTGTTGGGCTTTCTTTGGTCCAGGCCTTGAAAACAATAACTAGTAGTATTTTGGGTCAATTTTTAGGGTAGTCTTGGGCCTATCTCGACTATCCGCTAGGCCCGCCGTTGTCCAGATGATCACATGGTTCACCCTAGGTTTGGAAGGCATCTACCCTATACTTCTAAAGTTATCCCCTCCCTCACAGATCACTGTTTACCAACAGTAACCTCTCACGTAAACACTGTTACCGGAGCAAGAACCCGCCCGATATAAACAGTGACGGATTCCGTGAACAGTATCATCCCGGAAAATAAACTGTTACCGAACAGCGTGAGCAGCCCGTCCGATATGAACAGTATTACCTGTTCACAAAAACAGTGCTACCCGTTACACAACAGTGCATACCCGTCACAAACAGTACATACGTTAACCATTAGCGCTCTTTAATCCGTTGGCAACAATATAAACCCATTTCCAAAAAGCACTTACCCGTTAACAACAGCACATACCCTTCAAACATTACCAGCCTTTAATAAGCAGTACTCGACTATTGTACCAACTCATGCTCCATCTTCCTTTCGATACAATGCCCCGAATACTTCAGCGAATGATTTTTCCCTTTTCTTTCCTCTTTTCCTACTGCTCTCTTCCTTCATGCTACGTACTGCTTTTTTTGTTAACTTACTTCTGTTTTTTCCCTATTTTTGCTCTCTTCCTTTTCAATGCTAGACACTCCCAAACAGCTAATGTTTTTTCCATACTAGGTTAGACCATTTCTCTCCTAAAAAAATGTAATTCTTTTACATATCAAAGCAGGTCAATTCATTTTGTGCGAAAAATTGAATAATACATTCTCTACACATATTTCTCACTATTATCGCCCGCGGCACCGCACGGGCCCTGGCTAGTCAATCTAGATTGTTTGTTGGCCCATCTTTTAATTTATATCATTTCCATTTACGGAATATAGTTCTTATAATCTATAAAGTATTCATTATGCCATTTTTTTTTTATAATCCTACTCAAAGTGGGTTCAGTATCCAAGTTACTCGAGAGTTGTTTGTGGTTCTAACGTCAACACATAAACTGAAGTTGACCTTATCTCCATTGCAGATTAACTTAGGAATCATTTGTAGCAGTTTAGCTAAAGTATCACCCTTAACCTTAGTTAGTCTTGAAGCGTGATACATACCCTTTTTTTTTGTATATGTATGATTTAGTCTTTGATGTTTTGGCTCTCGCTACATTTGCCAGAGAAAATCAGAGCTAAGGAGGTTTTGAAATAAAGGTTAAATGCTTATTTTGAAGACTTGTTTGGTACAAAGAAAAGAAAGATATGTTTGCAAGCAATATGTGTATTAGTATTATATCTTGAAGATAAGTTTATGGTTTAATATTAAATTTGGAACAGGGCTGTCACCTTAAGGTAGATCACAAAGTACAGCTCGTTCATATATTGCACGACATTCCATTCAAGCTGCAGCGGAATATGCATTGGGCTCCTGGAATCCAGGACTGCAACATCAAACTTTACAGATCATTCGGTAAATTTCGTCTGCTCAGTTCCAGGAGGAAATCGTGGCACCTGAGTTATCTGGCAATGCCATTTTTTGTCAATAGTGTTTCCACATCACCATAATCCTCAGAAATAAAAAATCTATCTGCTACTGTATGTGACTGGAGGTGCATTAGCCCATCCTATAGGAGAAGCCCTACTACCAATATCCCATAAATACAAGATATATATATATACTTCTCTGTTGCCAATAAATAAGCAGCAGCACAAGCTTTGCATGGATGGACAGTTTTCTTCCGGTATAATCCAAACTGTTCCCCCATCACGGCGGCAGATGACGATGCTGAAACGCTCATGAGCTCTTCGACATTGATGAGCAAAGGCGAGAATACAGCGAAGTATTTTGCACAATAAGATAGACGATGAATGCAAGGTAAAAAATCAACACAACACACAAGCTTGAGCGAAGAAATGCACCCCGGACATCAGTAATGTAGAAAGACAGTATAAGATACCCATTGATAAGCATCAGAAATACCGTAACAATCCAGCTAATCACCTGAGGAGAGCGTAAAATGAGTCAATACAGCAAACTTGGATGGGCAGTGTTACCAGACTAGTTCAAAGGAGCTTCATACCACCAGACAAATTATAGCAAAGTAGCAAACTAAAACATCTACAATCGCTTCAATACAGCAAACTTGGATGGGCAGTGTTACTATACTAGTTCAAAGGAGCTTCATATCACCAGAGAAATTATAGCAAAGTAGCAACCTACATCTACAATCGTTTCATAGGTAGGCAAACCATATATATAGATATATCGGACGCCGAGTGACATGTCATATGTCAATACTCAATAGGTAGCCTAAGTTCCATGGTATGAAACACTAAAAAATCATGTGAAGGCATCTCGATTTGGTAATATCTGTAAGTTAAAGCAGAGCAGACAACTGAAACTAAGGATTCTTCTCTAAAGAAAATAAACTCAAGACTCCAGCTTCTTAGTTCTCTCAGATGTTGACACACCATGACGCAATGGAGTAACAGTACATGGTCTCAAGTAGCAACAGTCAGTTGATCATTATTTAACTCTCTGTGAACACGAATTTCCATAAACAAAACTCAAAGAAAAACTTACTTTGGTGATGGGACCGATTACGAACGACCCCATGATTTGCTCCTTTGAAACGAGGGTGATGAGAGGAATTAGAGCAAATGGAATCTGTATGGATTGAAGAACATTGAGTGCTTCATTCAGAATATCCATAGTAGGATCTTCAGTATCGAAAAATAAAGTCACAATCATAGTTGGAATAATGGCAAAACTTCGAGTAATCATTGCTCGTAGCCACTTCTTCAATCGAAGATTAAGGAAACCTCCCATAACAAATTGTCCTGCGTATGTGCCAGTAACTGTGCTACTCTGCCCAGATGCTAACAAACCAATAGCCCAGATATAGAGGATGGGAAAGAATGCAGTTCCATATTTTTCCTGTAAGTACTGCCCAGCATTCTCAAGACCTATATTGTCAGCCTGTTTAGACCCATAAAATCCTTTGGCAAAAACTGTTGTGACACAGATGTTAATAAAGAAGGACACAATGAGTGCAAGAATTGACTCAATGTTGTAGTAGTAAACTGCTTCTTCAACACGAGATTTCTTGTTTTTGTCAATCTTCCTGGACTGCACTAGTGCTGAATGCAAGAAAACATTGTGAGGCATGATGATGCAGCCCACAATTCCAACCGCTTGCTTAATTGTCTTTGAGCTCAATTTTGGAACCACCAAACCTGTATAAGATATCAAATGAGCGAACTCCTTAGATTCTCAAGGATATACTACATAAAGGAAAGGATTTTGCCGACATGTTATAGTGAGAGTTACCGATCAGAAGTTCCTTGCCACTAGGCTTTGTTTCACCAAACATAACCGCAAATGAAACAGCCATAGTTGCAATCAATACAGCGAAAAATGCCTCCAGTTTCCTCACGCCAAAATTCTCCAGGAAGAGAAAGATGAAGCTGGCATCAGGGAAATACCGTATGAGTCAAATGTATCAGTTCTGCTAAACAGTTCTATCAGATAGTCATAGACAATCAATAGAAAAAGAGATAACCATAGAGTACCAGACAAAGACAAACTATTAGCATTTCATCATCACTAGACGATTTATTTGGCAGAACTCTTATATTTAATTTTTTCTGTTACTTTCATTGTTACCAATTTCATATTCTAAAAGCGCCTAGCCTTGTTTAACAACCAATAATGCTGAAGGTAGGAGGTTTGACCAGGGTAGCAGATAGGCAGCAAGTAGTAGCGTACGGACAGTAGACAAGGATATGTCCATAGTTTAATGAATAATCCCAGATCATGGGTACAAGTCTCTAACGGGAGAGAGAAAAGTATCAAACCGACCAATAAGCTTAAATAAATACCCAAACCAGGCATAAAATGATGTGATTGCAGCAACCGTTGGCAAATACTCTGCAGCCTGCAGGCCCCAATCATGTTGCCATCGACTAAACCACAGATGAAGCATGCTCTACTAGAAGAGAGAGCAAGTAGAGGACGCAAACAGCAACAATGTCAGGACGCAACCTAATTCGATCAGCGAGCAGCACATTAGCATCTCCAGAAGCTACACCAAACCAGGACAAGTGCTACAGGTTTTAGCTGATCAGGAAGCAGATTGTAATCACCAGAGAACTGCAAATTTTAATCCAAGGGATGCATTCGTACTTTTTTTTCTGCGCCCAAAACAGTTGTACTCAGTAGAGTAAAAGATACTATCCCAATAACACACGGTAGCCATCATGCCCATCATCAACATGGTAATTGAACAGAGAAACAAAACGATGCTCCCATAAGCAGCAAAGGAACACCAGAAAGCCAACAAGAGGAGTGATCCTTTCAAAATCGATTGTCTCCAAGCACGCCACACCAAAGGACGCGAAACTTTATATTACCTAATAATAGACCGGACCAAAAGAATCCAAGGCAGAGATCCGATGCCTGAAGGAGTAAGGTAAAAAGAACGGACAAAAACACTTGATCGTGCCAACAGCCATCAACTTTTCTGAGATGCCATCCGTTGATGCCCAACACAAGAAAGAAATAATTCTACTCGCTTCATCAACACAGCAACAGAAATTTATAACTTTCAGTTCAGGAGAAGAACAGTGAGGAGCAGACAGAGAGATCCAATTCAATCAACTAGAGGAAAAGCATATACAGGGAAGGAATTTGCTATCCCCCCAAGCAGTAAACAAAATTGACAAACTTGCTCGTAGATTTTACTGATCAAAACCCCGAAACAAGAAAAAAGCAGGTCAGTTCAATGATTATGGACAGGAAAAATAATCCACTGGACTTTGGGGTTTCAAAACCGAAAGTAAAGAGACAACCGTAAGCACAGACGACGAGAGCAAAGCAACTTACCAATCGAGCGCGGTGATGACGACGCCACCCCAGAGCGGCACGGTGCCCCCGAGAGGATCTTGATGGCAATCGCGCTGCCAATCACCTCCTGTATGTCGGCGCCGACGAGCGCCAGCTCCGTCATGGCCCAGAGCGCGCGCGTGGCCCAGGTCGGGTACTCCTCGCGGCAGAGCTCTGCGAGGTGCTTCCCCGTGGCCACGCCGAGCCGCGCGGAGAGCAGCTGCATCAGCGCGCCCATGACCGTCGCCCACATGAGCAGCCACAGCAGCTGGTACCCCGCGGCGGCGCCCGCCTGCAGGTTTCCCTCCATGTTGCCCGGGTCCAGGAACGCGATGCACATGAGGAAACCCGGGCCCGTGAAGCGCCAGAGCTTCCGCCACGAGAAGGGTGGGCGCGACGCCGGCGCGCCGTCGTTTTCGCCGTCGGAATCCGAGATGGCGATGGAGATCTTGTCGTCGGAGTCGTACGCGCGCTCCTCGTATTCGTCGGGTGAGGTGGAGGCTCCACCCCCGCCGCCGGGGAGGAGGCTCTCGGCGAGGTCGCGGGACGCCATGGGGAAGATGCGCGCGTTGGCGAGTGGGGGAAGTGAGGATGGGGACCTGTGCTGCACCAGCGCACCTAGTGACCTAGCCGCGGGTCCATCGCCTGGATTATTGCATACTACCGCGACACGCACGCACACACGTATCTTGCGCTAGTTGGTAGCCTTGTGCAGCCGAGCGGGATTCGTTTATCCCGCGCGCCCCAGGGGATAAGTCCGTTGATACAGGTTTACTGTGAAAGAAAAATACTATTAACGGCTGATAGCTCTAGCTAAAACCAATAAGCAAATAGGCTGAAAAGGCAGAAGGTATCGTCAAACTACCAAGTGCCAAGCAATCCTAAAACTTGATCGAGTCGATGTCTCGATCGGATACGGCGAAGCAATCCTACCGTGAACTTAGTCCTCGTTCAGGGTGTAAAGTTTTGGGCATGGGATGTCATATGAGGTGTTAGGATACTGATAAAAAAACAAATTACAGAATCAGTAAACCGCAAAACGAATTTATTAAGCCTAAGTAATATGTCATTAGCACATGTATTACTGTAGCACTACGTTGTCAAAATCATGTCTAATTAGACTTAAAAAAATCGTCTCGCAAAATAGTCGTAATCTGTGTAATTAGTTATTTTTTAGTCTATATTTAATATTGTATGTTCAAACATTCAATGGAATTGAGCCTAAACTTTTAGCGGAGGAACTAAACAAGACATTCGTATATGGAAGTATTCAGAAGAAAATCACGTTGTGCCAATGGCCTGACAGATTGACAAGCAGATGGAGATGACCGACGAGACGAGCGCATGCTCAACGTTGAGACGTCATTCGATCCGAACAAGAACAGCCAGTAGTGCAGGGTTGAAGATTGAATAATGCTTCATCGTGGTTGGTATGGTAGGCTATACAAATCCGTTCCATCGTCGCGCTAGACTGCGCAAGGACTTCCGATCGGGCATCATGGCAGGATGGCCTACGGGGCAGTTCAAAACGGACGACGTGGCAGATACAGTGATGAGGCGTTCCCTCTGGGGCCCGGCGACCAGCGGCCGTGGAGTCGCCAAAAGAACGTGCCCCGCCCGCAAGGCAAGCGCTCCCGCCACCGGCCTCACCGTGTCGGCGGCGTGGCGCCACGGGACCCCGCCTCGTGTCCTGGCTTCGGTGGAGTACTTTGACCCTCTCTCCTCTGATTCAAATGATCCGCTCTGCTCTGTTCTGATCTACACTATGTGCCTGTTTAGTTCTAAAATTTTATAAATTTTTTCAAGATTCTCCGTCACATCGAATATTTAGACGCATACATTAAACATTAAATATAAATAAAAAAATAAAACTAATTACACAGTTTAAACGAAATTCACGAGACGAATCTTTTAAGCCTAATTAGATTATGATCGGACACTAATTGCCAAATAACAACGAAAATGTTACAGTACTATTTTCAAAAAAATTCACCAACTAAACCAGGCCTAGTACGCGCGTGCCTATAATTGGTACTTTGGTAGTTTGCCATGAAAGCCGGAAACCCTGAAACTGGCCATAGCCCCGTTCGGCTCGTTGAATTTTAGCTGAAACTGGCTGAAAACACTGTTCTGACTGAATTGTTGCGAGAGAAAAACACTGTTCCAGCTGAAAAAAGAAGCCGAACAAGCCGATTTCTGGGTAAGCCGAACGAGTGGAGCTTCCACTGTTCCATAGTTCGTTCTTATAATCCGTTTTTTTCAACTTGTTTTTTTAACCACAACTGTATTTTTCTCTCGCAGCAAATCTGTCGGAACACTGTTTCGTGATGTTTTGCGAAGCCAACGGGACTTACAGGCGCCCGAATCTGGTAGACTGCGATGGCAGCCAGCAGTAACATCTGGTCCAGTCGCCGTATGCAGGGTGGCATGGATTCTACTGCTTACCTCCCTTTTCATTTAGGGCATGTTTAGATTTCAAAAAAATTTGCGCAGTACTCGTCACATCGAATCTTGCGGCACATGTATGGAATATTAAATGTAGACGAAAAAAAACTATTTATACAGTTGGGTGAGAAATCGCGAGACGAAACTTTTAAACCTAATTAGTCCATAATTAGACATTAATTGTCAAATACAAACGAAAGTGCTACATTAGCCAAAATCCAAAAATTTTTAATCTAAACGGGGCCTTACTTGGCACCGAATTTTTACTGTAGTAATTTTGACCGTACGTTTTTTTTTGCAAAAGATTTTTAGACACATCAAGTTTTCACATATATAATTTTTTATTGAATATACTTCATTAGTGTTATATACATTGAAGTATTTAAGATTTTTTTAAAGAAAAAACAGATGATCAAATTTATTATAGTAAAAAGTTGCTCACAAGTAAACACAGACGGAGGGAAGAACTTTCTTGAGTTTTTCTAGGCTATAGTACATGATATTTTACAGCTGGAGACAACTAATAATGAACTAATATCAGCTTTGCAACCTACGGGACAATAAAGTCGAAACCAAGTAATTTATGCTGGAGTACGGTAATGATACGTGCCGCTCGGTATGGCCAGGGGAAAAAAATCTTATTATAGTGCCCCCATATAACAATTAACAACTGCAACTGCAATGGATGTGCAGTATCACTGACAGTAGTGTTAAGGCCCCGTTTAGATTCAAAATTTTTTGGATTTTGGCTAACTGTAGCATTTCGTTTGTATTTGATAATTAGTATCTAATTATGGACTAATTAGGTTCAAAAGTTTCGTCTCGCGATTTCTCACCTAACTGTGCAATTAGTTTTTTTCGTCTACATTTAGTACTGCATGCATGTGCCGTAAGATTCGATGTAACGGGTATTGCGCAAATTTTTTTGAATCTAAACAGCCCCTAATTCATCATACTGTCCCGCGTACTGGTCACCCACCACGGTCCCCTGTAGGTTATCGTTCTCGAGCACTTTCAACGACACCATTACTTGTTAATTTGTCATCTATTTGAAGGATCGAAACAAACGACCAGAGGGGGTGAATGGTCGCAGAAGCCAAAAATTTATAACCCTTCTCTTAAACACAAAACCTGTCTAAATCACGTTTTTTAAATCTGGACAGAACTCTATGTACCTAGTAAACCTGATGTGGATGAAAATCCGTAACTCCGATCAACCTAAAAAATTGTCAGATTAAACTAGATGAAATTACGAAACTAACCTAACTAGAATCACGTCAATCTGACTTACGGATCTTGAGATAAAAATAAAACAAGCAGACTATGTCAGATGCTAACGAGAATTGTAAAGAACAAATCGAGATGCACAAGATCAATCATTATAGATGAAAGATTAAATTGATTAATTGAACTTACAAAAGTGCATCTAGCCTCCGCCCGAACATCCTCCCTCTCTTAATTGGAGAGATCAACAAAAACCTCTCACTAGAATTCAAACCCTAGGCTAGACCGGAGTCAGATGTTCACGGGTACTGTTCACGCGTGAATGTGTCGTGGTGCTGTACGTTCTGAAATCGCCTCCCCCTCAACTGCAGCCGGTACATGATCAACAGTCGATGAAGTTGCAGGCTTTGCTGTAGATGTACGTGTTGGCGATGGTCCATCCTCCAAAGTGGTGGAGGGCGCCTGCTCAGGCTGGGCGCCAGGCTCCCCCTGCATCGCAGGCTGGGCATCATCGTCATCGTCATCGTCACATCCATCTTCCTCTTTCTCATCCTCAAAAATATCCTGCCCGATCTCGTCATCACCTGCACACTCAAAAGCAGAAGAAAAACAAGGCATTGTCTCGTCGAAGGTGACCTCACATGTCTCATCGATGCGGTTAGTATCAAGATTAAGCACACGGTACGCTCGCCCTTGCAAGGCATACCCCAAAAATAACCCATCGGAAGAACGCGATTCAAATTTATCCAAATTTCTCTTTTTCAATATAAAACACTTGCAGCCAAAAACTTCGAAAGTGGAAAACTTTGGGAGGTCGACCAAATCTCAACTCATAAGATGTTTTTCCCGAAAAGCTCTCGAAAAATGCGATTAGCAACATAGCAAGCGGTGTTGATAGCCTCATTTCAAAAACGTCTAGGAGTTTTATGTTCATCAAGCATTGTCCTAGCCATCTCAACAAGCGTCACGATTTTTTTACTCAACAACACCGTTCGGGAGGAACGTAAGGTGAGGAAAATCGATGATCTAAACCTTGTTCTGAACAAAAAGCTTTCATGCGAGAATTCTTGAATTCCGTACCGTTGTCACTGCGAATTGCTCTAACAGCATTATTTGACAACTCATTTTTCAGCTTCAGAACAAGATCATGAACATATGAGAAAGCCTCATCCTTAGATTCCAAAAAGAACACCCATGAATATCGAGAAAAATCGACCACAACGACGAGCACATACCACTTCCCACCAAAGAGACCGAACACGGGCCGGACCAACAATGTCCATATGTAGCAGTTCACCCGTCGTCTCGTCATCACACGAGTCACGAGTGCATGAGAAGCAGCAACCATTTTTCCATGTTTGCAGGGAGCACAAATCAAATCCTTTTCAAACTTGAGTTTCGGTAAACCATCAATTAAATCCAATGAACTCAAACGACAAAGCAAATCAAAGCTCAAGTGGCCCAACCGACGATGCCACTTCCAAATCAGGGGGGAACCATGAGCAACTAAAGAGCGAGTTTCACCAAAAGATTTAGAAAAATCAGCTTTAAAAATCTGTCTAAAAGGAGAAATCTTGCAAACAAGGTTACTAGTAGAATCAAGAACACGCGAATTTCCTTTCTTAAAACGAACCTCAAAATCATCCTCAAGAAGTTGCGAAACAGACAGCAAATTATAATGCAAATTCTTTACCAATGCGACGTCCTTTAACGTGTATTTATCTGTTACCTTGATGCAGCCATGCGCCATTACCTTACCTTGACTTTTATCCCCAAAAGTGATGTTTTCCTTTACGCTTCGTGGGGTGAGGCCGAGAAACCATTTATCATCTCCGGTCATGTGGCGCGAACAACCGGAGTCCATTATCCATATGTCCTCCTCGCCTCCAACCTGCAATCAACAACGAGAGCGAGGGTGAGCTAATGACTCAACACTGGGGTTAGGATAATGTAATGAAAACCAGTGCTGAGCCACTTGCTCAAAAGAAGCGTTGGCAAAATCAAAGTTCTCAAAAAAACGATGAGAACCACGAGGGGGAAAACATGGTCTGTCATCCCGATGTTGTGCAAGAGCATGAGTACGTGAGCGAAAACTAGAAGAGCGAACAAATGGCTCACGTCTCAAAACAGGACGATCATGAGTACCACGTACAGGGTACTGCTCACATCTAAAAACACGACGATCATGAGTACCACGTGTGGGGTACTGCTCACGTCGTTCAGCACGCATCCTCCGATAACAGAACTCATAAAGATGACCATCATGACTGCAAAAATCACAATGATAAAGCTTGCGTGCAGGAGCGAAAGAAGCCTCAGCATTAGAAATAGAAGCAACAAAAACAGGCTTAGCAAAATGATCACAAGAAGAACCATTTGGCTTAGTATTTTGTACACCCTTGAAGTGTTTTGGCTTAGGCACCCAAACCTGCTTTTTAGGAGCAGATCTAGATGTCTCAACCAGCAACCCATTAGAGGTGACACCTGAACCCTTCCTAGGAGGTGGTCCAGTATATTTAGCCAAAGGTGGATTCTTCTCATCAACAGGCGGTCCACTTTTTTCACCAAAAACATGTTTCAAGTCATAACCGGGACCAAAACGCTCACTGTAACACCCTCGGTGTTTGGCTTCTGCTTATTGCAATTCGTCTCATAAACATGTGCATCATTTATCTCATCATGTCATTTTCCCTGAAACATACATATGAAACATTCGCATATTCTATTTGTTTCGTACTAGATTGTTTGCGAATGGTAGTAGTGCAACATAACAATGAAACATGAATTTCCCATGTCTTGAAGCATGGCAACAGGGTAGTAGTGTGACAAGTATAGTATAACAACAAGGTCACGCAACATGTGGAACATTGTATTGAAACATATGTATGAATTGCTTGTTTTACTTTCTTTATCACATGTGATCAGTAGAAGAGGTATAACAACTTTGTAAAATGGTTGATCATGGTCTAATACACCTTAACTATACTTAGTTTACTTGTTGGAACATTGTTCATGTAGATCAAAATGACCAAAATGCCCTCAAGTGCTATTTTGACTTGAATTGACCCTTGGAGTGTCATCATTTGACTGATTCAAAAGTCCAACTTAGAAGCTTTGCATGGCTGTGCACTCTTTACAAAAGTTGTAGCTAATTTATCAAGGAACAAAAGTTGTTTTATGGTCAACTCATGAAAAGGTCTAGAACATGGTCAAACATGCTCCACAAGTCAGAAGTACATGCTGATTCATACTCAGCAAATTTTTCTAAGTCCTAAAGTGAATTACAGTTTCGGGTACCAATGTTTGGAGCCGTGTATCTCCTTAACCAAGCCAAACCAGCTCGAGCTCCAACGGACAGAGTTGTAGTTCACATATAGATGATCAACTTTGTTAACTATGGCGTAGTCTAGATCGTCACGGGTTTGGAGTTAATCGTCGTCAAACATGCTCTGTCAGTCGGGGCAATGGGCGACTGAATCGCGTTTCTGAAAAATGATTCAGTGACCGTCATGGCCGACCGGCGTAGAAGCTTGACGCCGCGTGTCCTCCACCACCGTCGCCGCCTTACCTTCGTCAGCGAGGCCACGCGTCGTGGGCGATCCGGCGACGCAGTTAGCCGCTTTGAAGCCGCCCCGCGCCTGCCCGAGCGCACTCGTCGTGCCATTTTCATTTCTTCGCCCCCTCTGCTCGCCGTCGCTCTGCTGGAACGCCAAAGCCGCCGAGCCAAAAAAAAAATCCAGCCCCACCGCGTGCCTTGGTCCGATTGCTCCCAGCCAAAGCACCGACGTGTGTTCCTCCACATCAGAGACCTCACCGTCGTCGCTTTTTCTCGCCAGGTAGAGCTCACCGCGTAGGCGGCTCCACCGGGTCGCCATGACCGCTGCCACCGAGCACGCGCGTGGCCGTGCTGCTCAAGCCCTTTCCCTCTCTTTCTCCCCCTTGCGCTGGTTTCTGTGGACCCTACTGAAACTCGTGGAGCCGGCCATTAGGGCCGAGACGCCATGGCCTCGCCGGAGCCGGCCGTGCAATGACTGAGCGCCGCCGTGGCCATCGCCACCTCTCTTAGTTGCGTTAATCGCTGCGAGTAAGGGTTCCCCTAGGTCCGCTAGGATGAGACGAAAACACGTGACACTGTTTCCTTCGCCGGAGAAGCCACCGGCGGCGAGCTACGCCACCGCCGCCGCTTCCCCTCGCTTCTCGGCCGACACGCGGGTCCGCCTCTGTCGGCCCGTTGATGCCTTCGGCGGGGAGCACTGCTGGTCGGCGCCGCGTCTTGAGCCTGCCTTGGGCGTGCTCACAGATTGCCGTTCATTGGGGCTGGCCCAACCGCCATGGTGAAAGTTGTTTTCTTATTTTGTTTTGCTTTATTATTTCACAGATTTGGGTTGTTATTCAAAAATACGTATTTCCTTGTATATAGATCCTAATGCTATGGTTCTAATTTTGTTAGGTTCCTGGTCATGTCTAGTATTTAACAAAAATATTATATGAGCACATGTTTTAGAAAAATTTGATGAATTAAATAGGAGTTTGAAATGTGTTTTTAGAAGCATGCAAACTTGTTTGAATTTTATCTTGCGTTTCTGTGGTCCAAAAATTATGAAATTTTGTGGGCAGTCTGTTATTGCTGATGTGAAGCTCTGGTAAAAATTTTAGAGCTAGTACATGTATAGTTTTTAAGTTATAGAATTTCCTTTTATTAATAGGTGGATCTTGTGTGAATTTTCATAATTTTTCTATAGATCCAGTGAAGGTGAAATTTTATGGGTTCTATTCTTATGCTAGGAGGATGCTAGGAAAAATGGGAAATCTGTTGCTTGACACTTTTTAATAAGGTTTCCTAATTATGCTAGAAATAGACATGTCATCTGTTATTTTGGATACAGCAAGTTATGTTGGTCCAATGGCTTTGAAATTTTTATGGTAGCCTATGTGCAGCATGAGATAGCTACTGTAATTTTTGTAGATTTTTATGAATAGTTTTACTATATATTGCTTAAATCACCTAATTAACTAAATAAATGGGAAAAGGATATTAAATAATTTATTTAGAAGTTAGCACTATACCTTATGATGTTTCTAAGATATGAAAAACAAGTTGGTAAACTTGGTTTGGTCAAATTAGGCTTTTGCACCATCATTAAATAATTAAGTTAGCAACCCCGTCATTCTGGACAGATTCTAGGTCTACTGGAAATTGATTTGGTTAACTTCAGAATCATGCCTTGATGTTTACAAATGAATTGTAGAGAATTTCATAAGCTTTCCAGAATGTCTTCTTGCAAGTCATTTGGATTTATAAAACTCTGGTTATGATAGAATTAAGTTACTACTTGTTGCATATGAAGCTTTAACTGTTATTTTAAGTATGTCTTTACTATTCTAAGTTCATGGTACTGTTCCTAGGTGTTAGGCCTTTAACTGAAGATGAGCATCTTTATCTTAGGTTATGCAAGTTAGGTAAGTTGCTCTTGTTATTTAAGTTAAGTTGGATACATGCTTAAAGTGATTTGAATAGAGCTAATTACTCGGTAAACGAGTGTCCAGTGATGTTTTCGTAAACACCCATTGTGATTCATTCATC